AATGTATTTTGTCTTGTCTGTGCTTCGACCTAGATAAAGATCTAGAACTGTAAAGTGCGATGTGTCATGTCACCATGAAGTGTAATAAAATGGCACACCTAAAATTTCATAACTCCGCAAAAAATATGTCCCACTGTCCTGGTGAACCGGCACACGCCCGGCGTGTGAGGGTGTGGGCGTCATACTGTCATTAATAAGGTTGACAACCGTACTATATTACTTCTACACAAATAATTTTATTATTATTATATTATATCTTATTAATATAATAGAGAGGATTTTTTGTTTTGTTGTTTGTTGTGTGTAAACTAAAAAAGTAAAGGAATGATTAAAAAAAAAATCACCTATATAAAGCTACACTATTTACTATAGTAACATAGGATATATTTTATCTGTAAAAATATGAAACTATTGTTGATTTTTGTTCGTTCCGAAACTATTGAACCGATTTTTAAAATTCTTTCACCTACGGGAAGCTACATCATACACAGATGACATCATCACTACATAGTATAAAACAAAGTCGCTTTCTCTGTCCCTATCCTTATACCTATATGCTTAAATCTTTAAAACTACGCAACGGATTTGATGCGGTTTTTTTTCATAGATAGGATGATTCAAAAGGAAGGTTTTTATGTATTATACAAGACCACGTGGGCGAAGCCGCTGGTGGAAAGCTAGTATGCTATAATTACGCGCTCAAAGACGCGGGAAAACAGACACTTTACTTTAATTATAAGACTGAACGAGGTCAACTAGTACCGACTATATTGAAATATTAAATTTCACACCATTTAATGCCTGTGTTAATTTACTGGATGAAGCTAGCTACATTTTTATTTTTGCGTGGCCAATATTATATTTTAACCTAAGTATATAATCTATTCTAGATTCCTATAACACATTATATTTATTTTCATGTGCACCTAATATATTTTATGGCATTGTCATGTGTATACTATACTTACTACTACTATACTTACTTTCCTCCAATATAGGCAACCCTGATTTGATTAACCTACGCGTATCCAAGGCTGTTCTCAAATATGGCTTTGATAATGTCATGTGCCAGTTTGATCTAAACCTGTTTATAATTAGTAAGATGTCTGTCAAAATACTACTACTAATGACTTATTTTAAAAAATGAATGTTTTGTTGGAGGAGTAAACAATAATATATTTAACAATGAAAATGCACTAATTAATGCAATAACATTCTTAAGCGTCACAATTTGGAGCTATCAAAGTTAAGATACTTTACAGAGATTTTATATAATAATGCATGTATCTATTGCTATGAGCTATAAATTTAGATAAGTATAACTACTGTTAAAAATTGCACGGCCGTATTCTACGTTATAAAGAGCCAAAATAAAAATTCTGCACGCGCAGAATAGCAAAGTTAGTCTGTTCAATTACAGACAATTTGGAATGTCATAACCTAAGTATAGACACTGAATTCTACGACCAATTGTTTTGTAAGACGTAGCCACTTTCGCTGGCCTTGGCGACGGCCCGCCAGAGGGCAGTGGGCTGACCGTTTTCGGACACTGTGTCACATTTGGTACGTGTCAAATATGGAAGCCATATTTGGATGCGATCAAAAATTACGTTGCGTTAGAAAGCGGAAATAACTGAATAGAGAATTGGATGTAGTCTTCGCGTTAGTAATTCCTTACCTGTCCACTATTCGAACACTACGTTTTAGTTCGACACACACTCTAACCTAACCTGTCCGGGTTATTGCACGACTAAATAAATATCGCGAAAATATAATAAATACTCTTTCTGAGTTTATAATTATAAAGTTAAAAATACCTGGTTGAAAATTAATTCCCGTTCAGGAAATGTTTAAGGTCGTATGGTTACCGTTAATGAAATAGATTCACATTTGAAGAAAATATCGGTGAATACTGAAAAATATCAATATTAAGTTTCATTCAGAAATCCGGAAATCCGTCCGGAATTCGTATGGGAGATATACCTCGGTGTTTCGTGCGTTTACACAAATGTGTACACACCTTTAATCTGCTTTAGTAGATTTAGTAATGTTACCGTTGCCGTTGAGAGTAGTGAAGTTACATAATAACATAATTTAAATGTTAGTTGTTATCAAGTGAAACTGGTACATGCGGTATACTGCAATAGATACAATCTCGTAATCAATCAGAATGGGTGGTATGCACGCGTCCGTTTGTCTGTCACAGTGACATGTAGCAACATTCGCAAGCGTCCGTAATCGGAACGTCAAAGATTAGATATTGTATGCCGTAGAACGGATATGACTCTGATGCAAGAAGTTTCAATATTTTTGTATTTATTTTAATTTTTTAAATTCTTGCTGTTATGTTTTATGTGTACGTTTGTTTTTATTTAATTTCATAGCGAAATTTACAATATTTTTGTTCATAATGTAACAACATATTGAATGTATGTTGTATGTAAATGTAATTGTATGTAAAAAAATGTATGTATGTAAATTGTAAAATATTTGTTGCTTTATGCTTAATATTGATATTGTAGACAAACCTTAGTGGTTAATTACAATGTTGTAAGAATTAATCATGTAATTTTTTTGTGGATACAATAATAAATGAAAAAAAACACTAAAGCATGGCAGCATATTTTTTTACCGAAACAGTTACGTTAAAGTAGATCAGAGAGGGTAGTTATCATTCCTCTAAAAGTAATATTATTATTATCATTATTATATCTATCTATGTGGTTAATAAGTGTATTTTCTTTCTTTTTTTTAATATAACTTTAAAACTGAACAAACGGATGACGCCTTACTAGCGAAAGTACGAGCGCATGAGAAACCCGAAGTGTCCGGGAGATCATTTATTCTAAGTCACCGTACAGTCACCCGGTTAGCTATGGGTCATGAGTTCAAGATCCGTCTGGTACTTGAGACTATTGATTTTTCTTTAATATCTACACACTAATAGTATAAAGAGGAGCTATATGATTTTTTGGTTTATAATGTTTGTTTGTAATAGATAGACTTGAAAGATTTTCACATATGTAAAGCTTGCAAACACGTAGCAGAATTTTATCATGAAACAGCATGATCTTCATGTGTTCAGCTTTACAATTGTATATAAGATGTTCGTTTATCTAGAAGGTGATCCGGAATTAGCCGGATCATACTCGTATTAACCGTATGTTAAGCCAGAAGGCCATTTTAAATGTTCAGTTAGAATTACAAGACATCTTCGACATTTCATAATCATCAAATGAACTCGTTTTGAAGTTTTTCTCAGTAGGTAACCATTATAATTTTGAGTAGGTAGGTAATAAAACAGATAACATCTGTGAATTAACTAACTTTTGATTTTTATCTCAAACAATCGTCGCTTAGACGTTTCGTCTTGGAGACATATATCTTACACAGTATAAAATATTATAGTAAGTATACTAAGTCACTGACACGTGCTTAAGGTTTTTGTAGATAACGCTGTCTTGTGCAACTTGACAATTTAAAATTCCTGCAAATATTAATTACTAGCTTTCGCCAGCGGCTTCGCCCGCATGGACCCTAGGGAAATGTTGAGTGGGATAAAAAGTATCCTATTATCTAAGTCAGCTAACACCCTATCTGTATACCAAATTTCATCAAAATCCGTACAGTAGTTTCGGCGTGATTGACGCACAAACATCTAAACATACAAACAAAGAAACTTTCACATTTATAATATTAATAGGAAATAATAGGATAATAGGATTGAGTAACAAGGTAAATGTTTTAAACGTTGTTACTTAAAATAAGAGAACAATTTTAATGATTAGGGATGTACTGCCTGGTGTTGCCTTATAATTTCATTACTTTTTAAATTTTGCTGGTTTTGATTATGGTACCTTAGTTAATTTTAAAAAGTGTTTTGCTTTTATATTGGTTTTATGAAAACGAATACACGAATGAAAATCAAGAATTCGGCTCTTATATTGAGTACTTTTTTTAAAATCGAAGTGTTTTTTTTTTAATTCTGAATGAAAAATGACTGATATGTACATATCAGTATAGACAAAAATGGGATGGGTTTGTTATAGGTTTTTGTCTAGTGCTAAATCAATACATTATAGCACAAATTATGTAATTCATTTTTTTTGTGATACTGTCTCTCTGTTTATAATGGTAACAACATCGTAGCTTAGACACAGTGCGGTTATATCAGAGATAGTTAAGAACACAGAATAGTTAAGAAATTATTGTACGTAGTTAGTTTATAACTGGTTCCGTGTATGCATTTTAATAGCTTTATAACAATAAATCTAAATTGATCATGTTGGCTGTTCAGTAGAAAAAAGAGAACTGTTAGATTCATGTTTATGATATAGTTTATTACCTTACAAAATTTGCATCGAGAAAAATTTAGTACATGTGTTAAGATGGGATGATAAAAGACTGTTTGGTAAACTACTGATCATAGGTGTAATTCGTCAGGGTTTACCTAGATTTTTCCTAGTTTCAACGTCTCTGGAGAGTGCGGACGTGGTTTCTGATCCGTTTTTAACCGAAAAACTAATATTAAAACAACTAAAACAATATAGAAAAGTTCATTTTCTGCATTGACAGCATCGGGAATCGAACTCTGGGTCTAACCCAGAAAATCAGAAAATACAGATGCAGAAAATGCAGACAGAAAATGTAGAAAATGCATCGACCCGTCTTAGGACGGCGATATTGAAACTGCCGTGTGAGCCACTCGGCCACAGAGATCATAAAAAAATTATATGCTACTATAGACAAGCAATGTTTAACGATAATACGAATCTGGGACATATTTATCCCTATATAACTCTAAGACTTAAAAGATACTAGTTCTTATTTTATAGATGGCGTTTCTCACTGACGTTATGGAGATATTAATCTAATTCTAATTAAGATGTTAATCGAATCCAATTTCCACATTATTCACAAAATATAAAAAAAGTTCTTATCGGTGGTAGATATTGTTTGATTACGATAAATTAACATATTATTATTTTCCATTGTTACAGGACGTGATACCAACACAAGATACCGAATCCTATCTGTTGAAGACACAGAACGCTATCACCAGTCTACAAGCCAAGCTCCAATCCTCAAGGACCAATAACTTCAGCAACATTCCTTCCCAACTCACCTCGAGCCTCATCAGCGAGAAGACCGCTATCTCCCGGCTCCCGATCTCACAGTTGTCACGCTCGAACTCACTCAACTATCGCCTGAGAAGGAAAGAGAACTCTAGCGACAGTAGCCCCCTAAGAAGTCCAGGGCATTACGTCATCACTGGCTCGATGAAACTACCGGAGACCACCAGAATTCTATTAAACTCCGCTTCGAGGTCTTTAGACACTGACCGGCGGAAAGGACGCGACTCAAATATGAATAGTCCGTGCTCTGAGAGGGGTCTGTTGAGCAATAGTTCTGAAGACAAAACACTGTCGAATAGACCACAATACGTAGATGTAGACGCGATTCTATCACCGCACAGAAAGGCACACGTCAGGCACAAGTCATTCGACGGTAGAAATCAGAACGATTTCACCGTGAACGACATCAGTAACGCAAATCAAACTGTCTGTCTCAAAACAGTACTTAAGAATAACGCCTTAGACGTGGTGTACCCGAGAATTGATCAAACTCGTTGCTTGGAAACTAAAAAACACCAAAGAGTCTTCAGTGATGGCAACAAGCAATATAAACCCCAAACAGCTTTCGGCACGTCCATTAAGAGGTCTAGTTCTTTCAGTACTGTAAATAAGAATAATAACTATTTAGATCCTCTCAGGATAAACATTAGAAGGCAGAGTAACCATTCAGAAGAGTATAAAGATGATTATTTGTCCGACGAATCGGACAACACGTCGTATGATAAGTCCCAAGATTTGAGGTATAAAAGGACGGTGAATAGGGGTAGAATCGATTCTCCAGATTTGAAATCGAAAGCGCCCGCTAATTCGCCCAGGTGTCCCAATACACCGGAAATGCAGAGGAAATTCGGACCAGGTTTGGTCAGGAATTCGGTCAGAGTAACAAACAAAGAGAGGGCCGTGAACAGTAGGCTGTCCGAGCCTCCTGTGGCTAAAGAAGATAGGTCAAGGCCCACTAGTCATCAGAGCAGAAGGATTTCGGAGCCGACGAGGCAAGCAGTCATGAATAGACTCACAAAGTCGAGGTCTTCGACGCGAGAGCTGCAACCTAAATGTCAGGAAAAAGGTAAGTTACATTTTTTATTATACATTACATAAAAACTATTTACTTTCACAAAGTTCTATTACTGATGAAACATAAAAGAAAACCACGATGTAGTATATTATAGAGAATTCCGAATCCGACCCTGCTTACAACATTAACTTTTATGACGAGATTTTTTGTAATCAATAAACAAAATTATACGGTTGAAAACCCTAAACATAATAGAGATTTTATTAGCGTTTTATAACGCTTTAATGTAATCAATTTATATAGTAACATGTTATTAGGGTTGCCGATCTTATTTAGTAGATTTGTATTTATAGAAAAATCTACCCTTGATATTAAATACTATTAGGTGTCGAAACTTAGGTACACTACATAGTCAACATAAACATTGTCTATACTATATACTCTAGACGTGTAAAAATATATACGCAGCAGTACATGTGGTTACAAAAATCACACTACAAATAAACAATTGAACTTAATCGTCTACATACGAAGGATTGCAATCGTTTGTTTTTTTTTATTGACGAGCTGTGAACTGTACATTTTTGCCATATCCTATATATTTATAAATAAAGAATGGAATCTCGATTGAATAATACTATATACATCGCAATAGTTAAGATTCTTGTGTCTCTTATTACACACTCCCTCGGCCACATTAAACGATGCAACTAAAACGGTCATTTACAGTACAGTCGCAAAGAAATGAATGAACGAAAATTAATAAGTACGATTAGAATTCGTATTGATTACATACTATAAGTATGCAAATGCATTGATATTTTGCGCCTCCTACGTTCGTTAAGAGAACTAAATTTCTAATATAAAAAAATAAATTTTATGAATATTAATATGAATCCAATATGCATTTGATCATTTGTCGTGCTAGGTACAGTTAAATGCAGTTAGTGTAGTCTCCGATGTGACCAAATTTGTTGTATCCTTAGTTTTCGAGGTTGTATCTTGACTTTTCCAAACGTGGCAAATGTCGACCAAGCTGAATGTTCTAGTATCGCGCCGTCGGGCGATCAGCGCGTCCTCCGTCTACTCACAAGTGTGAGTGAGACGGAGAAAACGCGGTCTATAGTTACTGCTGCTACTTTATAGTTACTGAACCAAGCAAGACTCAATATACATTCTAATCTGTTATCGTGTGAAACATTTGGTCTGCACTACGTAAAAGAACTTACTGTTAAATTCTACAAGCGCGCCGATGGTGCGGTGAAGGAATTAATTTGATGAAAAGATTTGTATGTTATTATGAAAATTTCTATTTTTGTGTGTAAACACTTTGTCAATTGTCTGTACCGAACAGTTTATTAGCGTTTGTCTTCATGTGGCAATGTTTTACTGATGGATTGCCAATGACAGTTAGGAAAGTAAATGCGTTGCAATTGTGTTAGGCAGGGGTGTCGAGTGGGGATTTTCAATAGAGCCTTTTTAAAGTTAACGATTAATTAGTGGTACGAAAGGGTTTTTTTGAAGTTTTATCAAATGAGTGTCAAATCTCAAAATCAGAATGTCATTTCTGATTTGCGGAGTAGCTTATATTTTTAATGACGATTTTAGCAATAGTATCGGTATTCGGAACATTGTAAAGAGTTTCACGGTAATAAACTAATGTAATGGAATGTTATTGTCTGACCGTTCGTTCGTATTTAGGATTTCCGCCTTTTTATAGCGCCTGCCAAATGTGCGCTCTATGGGAGAGTAATGTGCTTGTATGTCAAGGTTTCGGGGCATAGACAATTAACTTTTGTTTTATAATACAGTCGTAACGACGAGTATAGTTTTTTTTAAATGGTTTTATAGTATACGACCTTTATGAATGGTTCTTTATTAAACTTGGTTATGCAATTGTTATCTGTAGGGTAATTAAATCGAGGGAAATAGAATATCGCATTAGAAATATGTATGTAAAAACTTGTAACAAAATTTATTTGGCTGTAATATTTGTATTTTGCTGGATTTATTGACATTTTGTTATATTAAAAATAAACGAAATCATTTGATACTTAAATTGCTTCCAGATCTTTTTGTTTTTTTTTCTTTGTCAAAGTGAATTCGACTTTATGGCTCGTTTACAATGATCGATCTAATAAAGGGCCGTCAACCAATGCAAATGAGTCATTAAGCGGTTATCATTTAGTCACATCTTTAACGCAAGTTTAAAGGTATTAGTAGATTTATATATTATGCAATTTAATTAAAGCTATATTTTATTTTCCAGGTCAAAAGAAACCTAGTCAATACAGGTCGTCGTCAGCGCTGGCGAGTAAGGAGGTGGAATTCTCAAACTGGAAGAAGAGATCGTCGTATGATCCGATGAAGGCCGCGCAGGAGGGCCGCAGGAGGCAGCAGCAGGCCAAGAGGGTCGACAAAGATGACCTCAGCTCGCCCAGGTCTGAGATATGTCACTATTCAACTATACTGATAGAGTTTGCATTCACTATGTATTCACAAAAAAGATGACGTACATCCACGAGAATGGAATGAAACTTGTTTAACCTCCTTCGACTAAATAAAAAAATCTAAGAATTCTGTGTATATGTCGCACCAACTGGTTAAATCAGCCGTTCAATTGGGCGGCTAGCCGTTTAGTTATGTTATCTGTTACAAAAAAAAAACCTTGAAACTTAAGACGATCGCTACGCTACGCTTTGTGATCGTCATAAATTTCTAACCTATCACGTGATCTACAGGACCAAAATAACTTCGTTGTTTATCATTATATATTGTTATTAACTATAGTAATTCCAAACTTCAAAATTGTAATAAACATATCAAAATAACCGCAGTCAAATACATTGCTTAATCCGCTTTTGATAGATGGCGCTGTGGCCGTCTGAATCGCGGTATAACTTGTTATTTGTATAATTTATTAGTGTTAAGAATTTATTATGGAAGTTTAAGCTTAACCCACTTCCGTTATGGGTGTGCACGTTAGTTTCCAGTTTTGGATCATACGGACCAATAACACCCATTCGCGAATAAGCAGTTTTTTATTAATCTATTGATCAGTTCTGTGTATGTATCAATTACAGACCGTAACAAAGAGTTTTTGAGTTTTATATAAAATCACCCACTACAATATATATTTTGTTTACTTCTAATCCTACCAATAAATATGGGTGTTCCTGTTGAGTTGATAGTTAATTAGTTGACTGAGCTTTGTGCTGTATTGTGGAACGCTGGGTTCAGCTACTCGCCTGTTAATCGAATGGCGCCATTCAATTGGTCAGCTGATTGTACCGCTTGGCTGTGACGTACACAAACCTTCAAGCCAGAGGGGCGTATTTTATCAATTAATAAAACCGTTTTTTATTTATCGGCAAATTACTTAAGAAGTTATATGTGAAACTCTGTTCGACATGTCACCGATAGCCATGTTTGTTTTCATGTGTAATGTAAAGTGAGGGTATTGCTTTAAGCCCACGATATGTATTTTCGCTCACAATCGTCAGATATATAATGTTTTCGGTCATTAATTTACCATCTTTTGAATTTTATAGCACAATTGCTTAAAATTACTTTTCAATGCAGTTGCTCATAAAGCGCTATTTTTTTTTATCTATTGTAAACACCGAAAATGAGTCTTTAAATACGTGTTAAATGAAAATGTACTGAAATCTTTTACTGCACAAGTGCTTAAAAGTATTTTTTTAATTTTTTTTGGCCGAGCACCAAAGACATAAAAAAAAAATGAAAACTATATGCAAAAACATTTTCAAATAAAAATGTATGACACGAAAACATGTTCAAATATCACGTTTAATTTTAATACATAATTTTTATTAACCTATATATTTGTTTTATTTCCTCGCAAAAAGCATTGAAAATGTTGTAAGAAACTTGAGCGTAAAAAGTTTCTCGAATTCGTGCCAATGTAAACCCTCGCTACGCTCGTGTTTTCAATTTGGCCCTTATTCGTAAAACCTTACTTTCCGCACACGTATCTTAAATAACTATTAAATGATATCTAAGAAACATGTATAATGTCGTCTAATATTTATTTATACATTTGCTTTCCGCAGCCACTCATCACCCGTCCACCGGTCGCAGTCGTTCCACACGACCAACATCGCTGACCTGGAGGCCCTGGACTACTCGTCTGAGGACGAGCAGCTCACGTTGCCGGTGGACCCTATGATCACCTCCACACATTCGGATATCCTGGACATCAGGCCGAAGGGTGTAGACTTCAGGGAGAATCTCAGGAGGCAAGCGATGACCAACGACGTGGTTATCTCTAGGGATTACGTCACAAATTTCCAGGTGAGGTGAACCACCGACGTAACGACGCATTTGCGTTGGTCGATAACGCCCTCAGGCGCAGTCGGTAAAACAACTTCGTGATTAACTTACATTAATCTTTATGTCGCTTTTAGGATGTTGCGAATGCTGCATTATCGAACTTGTCGGCCACTGATAAATCAAGCGTCATAGCTCATTTACATTGGCCAATTGCGCAGTGTTGGAAATTTCTGTACCTCATTTTCATTAATAGGTCATTAGAAAAAATATATAAAAATTAAAGGCAAAAAAACTTTAAAAAAGCGCCTTTAAACGCTCTAAAAAGAAGAAAATTAAATTTTACTTTTAAATTTCAACTATCAACTTATAACCGCATTATACACAATTTTTATGATCATAAAAGCTTGTCGCGATTAACGATTAAAGAATAACGTCACATTTATTATCAAGTTATTCTCAATAAGCCTTTCATTTGATACCCATATTGTAGAAGTGGATTAAAAATAACAATACCACCATCCTATATAGTCCGCCATATTGGATTTAGAATGACGTCACGTCATTTTTCTAGTTACTCTCAACGAGCCCTTTCATCTGATACCCATATTGTAGAAGTGCATCAAAAAATACTATTCCGCCATCTTGGATGGTCCGCCATATTGGATTTAGAATGACGTCATATAGTTAGTTTATCATGCATTGTCATCCAAACTAAACGTATACAAAATTTCAGATCAATCGGTTGAAGATTTCTACTTCAAAATTGAGTTCAAAGATTCCACCCGAACCAACATACTAACATACATTACATGTCAAATAAAAAAAATTAAAATCATAATAATTATATTCGTAGGTGAACCAACCAGTAGATAGGAAGCGTCGCTCGGAAGCGGACAAGCGCAAAACGTTCATAATAGACGATATCACACCGACCAAAGAGAATATAGACTTTTTGCCGAAACGCGACGAGGCCATAGACAAGAGGAAGACGTTCATACTGGATAGCGACACCAACTCGACCACCAACGGGAGCAGTCCAAGGAACTCGTCAATATTCAGCCACGAGAAAACCTCATTAACAACAGGTGAGGGTTCGTGACACGTAATGGGCAATCCCGGTTTCAAAACCTAGTGACAAATCATGATACCTTGATAAATTGCGGTCGTCAAATATTTCTATAGAAGGAATTTTCTTCGTGAATTATATATTTTCGAGATACTGATTTTGAAGAATTATTTTTAGAAAAAATAGAGTTTTATCGGATAATCCTTATCTGGTGAATAATTATGGTTTTGCAAATTCTAAGTGTTTGCTTTTTAGCGTAATATGGGCCGCTGGATAGTAGGGACGTAGCCTAGGTAAAAAAATTTTTTTTACCCAGGCTACGTTCCTTTTTCTTTACATTTTTTTCACTTCGTTTATAACAAGAAATAGTTATGATAACAGGCATTAAAGTCGAGAAGTGGGGGCTCGTTACGTCACAGATTTGTAGAAAATATACAAAAACTTGAAGTTTAGCGACATTTTAACTAATTGTATCGCAGTAATTTATTGATTACGCAGAAAAATACAACAAAGGTCGGTGAGCGTAATAGCCATAGAGTTCGTGACTAAAATGTGCACGAGCTTTTTAAAGCTTGATATTTCTGTATGTCGTAAATACCAAGGGTATTCACTCTATACCCAGGGCGGAGGTCGTACGCTGGAACACCGGGGGGCGGCGGCGCGTATCAAACTTCTAGCGATCGTTTAATATGTTCGTTCCGTTAAATGAAAGTTTGAGTATCTTTTTACGACCCGACTACTAATAATTTCATAATAAAATAACTTTCAAAGATTATGAAATTGCTTTTCTGAACTACACAATCCAGTATGTCGAATATCGAGTTTCAGAAAGCTCTTGTACATTTTTTGTGACTAGCTCCCGGAGTATAAAGTCGCGGCGCATCCATGTCGTAACTCGAAGCGTCCGCTTTGCCGTCGGTAATAGGGGCGATGTGATAGATGTCGCCACAGTGATATACGTGTCGTTTCGCGTGCAGGCGGCAGCGACTCGGAGGGGGAGAGCGGCCCCGACAGCGCGCCCGCCGCCGTGCGCCCGCGCGCCCGCCACGCCCACCACGCCCACGCCCACGGCAACGCGCACCATAGGTACGCTGCTGCCGTAATGGCTGGCTTACACGAATTGAGTAATCGAGTGCGTGTAAACACACAGACGAGTGATAAGTTGTAAGAAATAATGTTGGTAACTGCTCATGAGCTTAATTGAATTCAAAATTAGAAACTAAAATTTAAGAAACTAAGAATTAAAAATAGGATTTAAAATATTTATTTCACATGTCTACTTGATTACGTGTAAACCGACCATTACCTTGGTTATTTATATATATGTTTTTGTATATTATATACACGGTAAGTTTCAATCAATTTTTGTAACCGGAAAAATTTATAGACTAACAATTAATTTATAACGAATACTCGACCCCTGCCCTTGGCCTCTCTATAATTCCTTTTCTTTTTATGTGACGCTATGTGAAATCTATACATCAAATTCCATAATTTGCTATACCTTTCAAAGAATATTTGATAGATTTTGAAATTAAACAATTAGGCCCCGGATCCTGAGATTTTGAATTATTATGTCGAACAGAACTCCATTAGCAGAAATATCACGGGAAATATGCCGACGAGGAGAACGGAAACCGGTACTCCCCCTCGCACCTTTGCTGTGTATTCATAATGGACATTATTCGTATAGGTACAGCGGCGACTACTCCATGTCGTCGTCCACGACGTCCGCCAGCGCGCGGCGGGGCGGGGGCGGGGGTGGGGCGGTGACCCCCCGCTACCTGGACATCTCGCGGTACCGGGCGGAGTCGTCCCCGCGCACGTTCCTGCGGCGGGACCCCAGCAAGACGTACTGCGTGCTCGCGCCGCACGACCGGCCCGCGCCGCCCGTCAGCAAGGGCAGCGCGCAACACTTAGAAATGGGTCAGTGTTGTCGTAACCGCTCTCGTATTATTTATTTTGTTATATGTGCCGCGGTCCGCGATCGTTGTTGTTAAGCAACTTTTGCAAACGTCGATCACGGGATGGGTGACCAAAAAAAAAATATCTCGAGCTACTTCATGCTTCGGAAGGCACGTTAAGCCGTTGGTCTCGGCTGCATTTGTAGTCGTTAATACGCTCCAATCCGCATCGGGCCAGCGTGAAGAGTCATGGCCAATCCTCCTTAACCATCCATAAGGAAGGCCTGAGCCCTGCAGTGGGGACGCAAAAAGGCTGATGATGTGATCGTACGAGATGATCTCTTAAATATTGAACGCCCCCCCTCCCGACGGGAGATGCCCCGCGATTCTGTAAAAATCCAGACCCGAATTAGAATTCTCTCATGTGTCCGAATTCACGTCGTTTAGTGTAGAAATTCTATTGATTCAATTTTTTCTATAAAAATACAAAACAAAATTGATTGAATATACGTGTCTTAAATATTCTAATCCTATGTCATTTCGAAACTCACTTCACTTATGCCACGAAACGTTATTACCAGTTCAAGGTTGAGCGGAAGCCGCTTTTTGAACCTGAGTGAATTCGAATTCGTGTTTGGATTTGTACAGAATAGCACGGCTGCTCGTCGGTTATCCGTCCGACACTTTAACGACGATTTCAGGTGAAGCCCGAGGCTCGATTTGAAAGATAACGCCTGATTCTATTTAATAATTGTATTTGACAGAACAAAAGAAACAAGAGCTAGAGAAGTGGAAACGCAGAGCATCGTACGACCCGCGCAAGGCCGCCGCCTTGGGCAAAAACAACAAACCGCCCCCCAAGACTGCCAGGTATATATAACATATATAACTTTCTCAACAATATACAGAGTATCAATGAACAATTTTTTCCCTCCCCAATTACTATCTTTTATAGAACATATAAAAAAACATTTCATATATGATTATTAATATTTACATAGTGATAAAAACTTTTTCTGGTTCAATTGATTTAATGTGTATTTTAAACATTCCAATTATTCTTCTATTTATCTTTTAATGGCTTCTTTTGGGCCAACCACAATATTCTGCTAACTTCATTTCACATATACATGTTGTCAAACAAACAATGTCAGTGATTTTGACAGCTCACTGACAGATTATGATTCTCGTAATGCAATCGATAAGTAGTGATGTCTATGGTAGTCGATAATTTACCAGAATCTGATGAAAAAAAAACGAAAGAAACAATCTCGATTTTCATATGGCAATATGAATAGACAACAATTGACAACTGTCAAGTTAATGTATGAAATTGTTGAGAAAATTTGTGAAAATATCAATTTATTTAGTGAAAATCTCCAAAAGGCCATTCATTCCTCAAGTGAGAACCATTGTTATTAATTTTTATAGCAAAATTTGTGAAAACAAGTTGAAGGGCAATAATTCATTCATATAATTAGTTGGCGTGTCGACTTTTATAATAAAACGAATTTATGTAGAGGAGAAAACATGAAGATATTCTTTGTACACCGTGGAAAAATAAAAACAGTGAAAGGAAAAATTAAATAAAATCAATTAGAACTTTTAATAATACTTCTATTTTACTTTTCATTTGCAATTTTAGTAAAAGTAAGTAAATTAGTAAATAAATAAAATAAAGCTTTTTTGATTTATCCGTGTTAGATTCTAGGTCAGATAAAATATTATGTATTGGGTTCTTCTGCTATCCAATCGTAATATCAGATGGTGGTTAATATAAGAGCACAGGTGTATTATTGTGCACAAAAGTGTGTCCCATGCAAATGACTAATCTATCTATGGTGCCGTGATTGGAATTAGGCATATACTGTTCAGTATTATGAGACAGTGATTATTTTTTTTGTTTCATAAATATTACAAGTATCAAGATGTTTTTGTCTTCCCAATGTTCTTACAAATATTTTTTTTTCTAATTTGCCATCAGATTCTGGTACACCTAGAGTAAACAAACTATAGGTATGTCGATAGAAATCGGTCGTTAATTTCTAGATTCAGTAGGGTGACCATAAGAAGCAACGTTTTTATAGCAAAAATATTTTTATAATTCAAAGCTTAATATAAAAAAATTGTGCACTGATTTTCTTGGTAAAAAATATGTATGTGTCGATAGGGAATCGCAATCCGATAGTTTTAGCCACTACATGGCACATTACCGATGAACGTTGACGAAATATTTAATTTAAACTTTTATTTCAACATATTAAATTGTAAAATTCTACGGGATTTCATTACTCGATATAATGCTGTGGTCCTTATATTTTTCTGTTAAATTACTTCCTTCTTAAGATTTGAATTACATTACAATGTAGATTTTTTTGTAATAATATAATTTATATTATTTAAGTGTATTAGTCATATAGCTCCCTATAACGAAATTAACCAAAGTAATATTTCCTTAATTATTTAAAATTTATCTTTTTAACAAAGATTTATAACAAAGTGCATTTACTATAATATAATTCAAATGGTAGAGGACAAATGGTAACTGAATTATTATTTTCCTACTAATTTATTTATTTTGTAAATATAATTTTCTTTCTTTTACCCAGTGACCAATTACATAGATGATAAATAAATCTGTTTAAAATTCTCAGAGCGTGACAGATGTCAAATGCATGCAATTCTGGTTAGAGTGGCATGACGGCGGCCATCTTGTTTGTTAAGGTTAGTCATACGTCGAACTGACAGTTGTGACGTTCGGCTGCTGCCACAGTTAAACGCTGTAAATAATATTTGTCGGAAGTTAGACGGTGAACAATTTATCGGCACTAGTGTTGCACCATTATCGATATTAGGTATTGAAAAATAGTCAGAATATCGATATGCATATAATTTTACAGTATGGTTAAATTTAGGTTATATAATAAATAATACTTGCAAAATATGTCATTCTCGGTTTTGTAAATTCTCTTTAATTGGAGAATTTTTTTAAATTTTGTAAGAATCGAATCCGTAACTTTCAACAATCTGAGCGACTGCTCTAACCATTTAGCTACCCGAAAGCTTAGATATACTAAAGAATTTCTCAAGCCTTGTTTGTTTTACTACTAGTGAGCGTAGTTTCACCAATGTTCAGGCAATCAACAAAAACAACCGAAATTAAATAGATTTATAAATATTTTAACGAAAACTTCCAAAAGGCATAAAATTATAGTATCGAATTTTTGACTATCTTTCAAATTTAAGATGGCATCTAAAATCCATACTATTGCTGCGACACTACTTGGCACGTTTTTGTATTTTCTTTGTCTCGCTCTTTTAACGCTTCCAGGTATTACGCTGTCGATTTCGTGGCATCTAACTAACAATTCTAACGTTATTTTGTATAAAAACTGGTATCTCTCGCTTTTCCATCGGCTTTTGTTCTATAACTTATAAAAATTGATTCACTAATACGTATTACAGCAGACATTTCATGCGTCAATCATTTAATTAAATCATTTCATTCACAATACAATATGAAAAGTAATTCTTCCCAAAAATATATGTAATAGTTTATGGTAAGTATGTTTTCATAATAGTGCCTTTTTGTACTAAAAATTATACTAACATCACGCTTTAATTCTTAATATTTAGTACAGTCGACAGCACATCAGAACATAAATAAATTTGTTCAATTGATTTGTAGCTTTAATGTGTTGAAAGTTAAAATCAAAATCGGTTGCGGAAATTTGATTTTCTTATAACAATCTGATGAACTGCAACATATATCTTTAACACCCCTTTTTGCTTTTCTTTTTACAAGATTTGTTTTCTTTTTTATTTTATTTTTATTTCCACTATTTGCTTTTCTTGTATAAAAATATAGATATATGTCTTGGAAAAATATTGTAAAAAAAAAAAACAACTACCTATCTGATATATTTAAAGTAATTCTACAAATGTAACAAGGTATTAGTTCCATGTAAAGGTTCCATGTAAAATTTACTAATATGGTGAACGAATAACAGTAATAGCACAGATGTAGCAGCCAATATATAATCAATGAATAATTTAATTTAAATAAGGAAACGTTTTCTTTTCAGCAAATTTTATAGTCAAACAATTTTATCGAATAATAAAAAAAACACTATATACTATCGCACTTTTCCATGGGCTAATGATGTGCTATGGTTGCTCATCGAAACAAAAACATTTAATTATTTACAGCGTACTTCGATCTCAATCGTTCCACGGACCAGTATTAGTGGCGTCGACGCTTCGGTATCAGCCGCCGCCAACACAGATAATTGAGAGCTACGACGCTTCGAGCGACAACGATTTCTAATGCGAACGCTCACAGTCGAAAATACGATGGCAAATATGTGATAATGTGTGCGTGTATGTGTGGACGGCTATGTATGACAGTAAAGAATTTAAGGAACGCAAGAGGAGGATGTGTGAATGCAAGAACACGAAACGTTATTGTTTATGACTGTTATAGAATATGGGAATTCTGTTACATGTCCCTTTGCCTAAAAAGTCATTTTGACAGATCGTTTTGCGCTTTGACGCCATTTTCCAATTTTTTTTTCGAGTCATTTTTTATTTACTGACTGTTTATTATTATTAAGATATGGATTTGGGTTGATGCAATTTTTAGTTGTTAGCAATGATATTTTTTTTTATTTATATTTTCGCACAAATTTTCATTTGGACGAGATGAAGTCATATATTTACTTTTTTTATAAATTAAATTTTGTAATAAAATATCACTGTTAAGTTCGTGAAGTACATACCTAATAAAGAATGATTAATTGTAAATTCTATATGTTAGTTAAGGATTACTTGTAATTAAATGTGATTTAATAACTTTGATATCTTTATAATCGACGAACATTATATCACTTTAAGTGTCGTTATAAATAGCTTTATATTGTTATTAATTATTATCGGTATACAACGTTATCTTGTCAACAATAAGCGTTAATTTAATGTTATTGATATAAAAGTCAACGAATAGTGGTGGCTAAGGATTATGTTTCGTTAGTGTAATAAAATAAGGCACCGGAATTATGGACAAATGTGTCATGGTCCATTAAATCATATTTAAAGTATTAGCGCAACTACATTATGTAGCATATTGCATGTATATTATTTTTGAAAGCTATATTCACAAAACTAGTTAATAATAAATCTTATCGAACATCCAACGTCTCTCAATATTGGCGTTAAAGTGCAATTCGAATTCGGTGTCACTTGTCTGTTTTTCAATCGTAAATATTATTTTAAAATATGTATATCATAAAAAAATGTTGGCTGTTATTTGAATCATTAAGATTTTTTTTACGATTTGTGATGCCTATTAATTATTTAAAAGCGAAGAAAAATAATAACAAGATAACGTTGTACACAATTGCTCTGTCCAATTTAAAGTTACGTAGATGTTATCTGTATTATTGAACAAATTATTTAATTACTTTTATTATATATTATACATTGCTCACGTCGTCAATACATCGATGTACTATTAGTAAAATAAAATAAGTTTCTTTTTTTTTTAATTAATTTTGTGCAATGTAATATCATCACACACCCTACTCAAAAATTGAATATGAAACGCAATATTCTTAATGAAAAATTCTTGAAAACTCTGCTTTTTAAGCATTTTCTCACTAAGAATATTGTTCAGTATAATATTGTCAATGCAAAATTGATGAAATATAATAATAAAATGTAATGTTATATCATAATAATTTAAAAATGTTTTTACAGAATAAAATAGTTCTATTATGTGATACAAAAAATAAGTTCAAGATATAATGCAATATTTCATAAACTAAAAATAACTATGAAAGTTTAATTTAGTATAATTTTACCTGTTTGTATTGTAGAAGAAAAAAAATATCATAAAGTAGGTATTTACTTTTTAGAATTTCTTTAAACAATCGATAATTAAAATTTAAAGTTTATTACGCATTTCAAATTGCTGAATAAAATCAAAAAGTATTACAAAGATATTTTTTTACATCGATTTAATTTCATAGACTTTGTTTGATTTAAAAATAATCCATAGACAATGTTGAAAACTAATTTGCATATGTATCAAACAACTATTAAATAGTTTTTAAATACGTAAGCCAAAACAAAAAATGTCAAATTGTTCCAGATCATGCTTATTGTTTGTAATATATTCATAAAATGTATTTTTTTTTTTGTTTTGCTCCATATATTTGATAATATTTCCAAAAGAAGAAGTAGCCTATGACTGAATATTCAAAATGTTTTATAAGCTTTTATTTAGTTTCACCTGTTTGTCTTTCTGTATAAAATCTTGCAAACTACATTTCATCAACTTCCGTCTGTTTGAGCTGAAATTTGAAATATATCTTTAGTTGTGATGATGACAATGCAATTATTAATCCAAAATGTCCGCCGTAACAAAATAGCCGCGTAAGCATATTTTCTGAACAACCCACCCAATACGGATATCATATGAAAGGGTAAGCCCTTTCATTAATGAATAAATTACATCAAATGAATTCTTGTTTAATTTTTACACTTCACAACCAAAATAGGCAAGAAAAGAATTGAAAAAATAAACTTTTGTCTATGGTTTATAAAAGTAGATAATATCATATCACAAACAAAGTAAATAAACTAGTGACAGCCGTTTAACAGTAGAAAAAGTTTTTTTATGTTAATACCTGTTTCATCAATAATGAGTAGTTTTTTATAGTTTTCTTTTCTGTAGTAAAAGCATTCGATTTGTATTATAAAACGCTAAGTAGAATATGTATTGTAACGCTCCAATCGATGTTTAGCATTTCATTAAAAAAGAAACTTTTATTTAAACAAATGAAATAAATAAGACCTATAAATCAATATGGTGTTTTTATTTCCCATTGACACCCAGTCTCAATACTATTATTTGTATTAATTTGCCTGCTTATTTAGATCAAGTAATTGTAGGTACTTAATTGAAAAGAGCGCCACCGTCAACGGAAAACGCTAACGCGGTAACGAAGCCAAATTCCAACTCAAACAATAAAATCCACAGTTTTCAAAAGAACTTCTCTCATTAGCTCCTTAGTTCGCTTCGGCTAATGAAATACGTATGTAGTAGTCTAAATAAGGTATAGGTTTTTAGAAGAATTTCGGGAGAACTGGTTGCCTTATATTTGTTACATAAATAAAACCCATTTTACATTTATTATTAATGATTTTATTTTTGAATATCAATTACACTTTTCCTTTTATTGTTTATTAATAAATTTTACATTTGACCTGGTACGTTTATCATTATTTACCATTATACAAATGTGCTTTACTATATGTAGCGTAATATCATTCTAAACTTGTTCAATTTACAAAAAGGGGTCATGGTATTACTTGTATACGTCGAAATAAAACTGCCTGTATTAAAAAGTGTTTTTTTTTTTCATTCAAAACTCGTTTCGTTGTTCATTATGTCAAATATTAAATTTAAGTTTTTTTTTAAATATATTAATAGAGGAGGAATAACATTTCAAAGTCACTCGCTTAAATTAAGGAAAGGAACTTTCGAAACGAATTTTTGTTATTTTTCCCAATAACTATACTTAATTCACAACCACATTACTCTTTTTTTTTAATTTGAAAAGTATCGAGGTAAAGCTATTTCATCTAATTAAAAAAAAAAATCTAAAATTGAGCAAGACAGAAGTGACAATAAAACGTTATTCGTCGTAATGAAATGAGTGCCGCACGTGCAGCGACTTCAACTTTACCGTGACTTATCTAGGGGGTGCAATCGTAAGTGTTGGCACATAAAAGGTATTATTAATTATTCAAGTAAACTCATTAATGCACTTTTTGCTTTGATAAATTTTAATTAAACTTCACTTTGCCTTTATAAAAAGTAGTGAAAAATGTTTTCATCTAATGAATAGGCCGTTTGTTATATAGTTAAGTTTTGACTTATACAGTAAAATTGTTAAGTCAACTTCTTGTCCATTAATATCAAGGCATTTTTTTTCAATCAATACAAAATGTACCTTTTATTTAGTGTAAAGAAAACTAAAAGAATCAAGAATAAAATATTATTTTCATTGTGGCCAACTTAATCATTTTTTATTTCATTTAGATTATATTTACTTTTGTAAGCATCTTTATATGAGACACAATATCGCAATGGCAATATCTATCTTCAACTAATACAATTGCATCGCTTAAGAAGTCGAGGTAAGGTTTAAGGACATGCATTTCACACGAAAGCGTTATTTCTTTATGGATAAGTATGTAGTTCATTTTATAATTACTAACTTACTTAAAAGACATAAACATATTAACGTCTGTTAGAAAATAAAAATTGTACTATTTAAAACTTAATTTTTATATAGGTGATTATTTACATAATATTCAAAAACCCTTTACTTAAATCATAATACGTGTACGTATGCTTAAGTCATTATCTTGCTTATGATGTGTGTAGATAAATAAATATTATTTTAATGGCATAACTTACAGACAGTACGATTCGAAAATATTCTATATACATATACAAACTCCAAATTTAATCCTGGGTTTCATTCGAGGAAACCAATTATTCTTTTCATATTATAATCTTTTTATATACTTATAATTTTTATAAGAGACAACAACACAAGGAGATAAACCATTTTATACCATGATACCCTGTCATTTCATGCCTCAATTATACGAACATAGTACACATTAAATGCATTTCAAGTAGGCGGTAGAAATGAATAATTAAACTTTGGCACTACTCTGATAATAACATAAAAACGATCAAAATTATATAGTTTTGCTAGTTTTTCTCTTAAAATCTATCTTACAGTGTAATTAAAGCATCCACTTATGTGATTAACACACATTTTTAAAATCGTATTTATATATATATAATAAAACTATATCAATAATTTCTAGGGTATATTTTCTTAGATGGCCAAAATCTAACAATGATTGTGACAAAAACAATAAGTATTATATTTATTGGAAGATACTAGAAAACAAAACTTTTTATAAATAATTATCAACAGACTTAAAAATATTATTAACTAAAAACGACACTTCATTCATTCTACGCGACTACGAAAGATAACTTTTCTTTTATTTATAATGCCATTATAATTACTCTTGTATATGTTTTGTTTTTGGGGCGGATTTACACAAATCACTACATTTTTTAAAAAATATTACTATTTACAAACATATTAAGCGCTACTACGGTTTTTTATATCTAAATTTTATAGGTAGGTAAGGAAGGTAACCGCTGAGAATCTCACACGTTTCGATAATTGAATGTAAAAATAAATAAAAAAATATGTCAAGTTAAATTTCATCAATGCAATTTCGCTCATAAGCATTAAAAATAAATAACAATATGGATAATACACTTATACATCGTGAGAGGTTCTCAGCTTTTAAATTAAATATTATATAAAAGACATCGCAACGATGGAATAATTCGTTTTTTTCCTTATATTTTAATGTCGAAGAATTCAATAACCTAACAGCTGTTTTTAATATGCCGTGTGCGTGTTTGCATCAATATGTATAACAGTAATGTCGAGATAATTCAATGATATTAATAATACGATTATTATTTTAAATAAACACCCAGACAAGCAAAATTTTAGGGCGAATTTACATTACGAAATTTAAAAAAAAGATATTTCATTCTTTTATGTGGTGTTTCCTTAATATTTGTACTCTACAAATTTCGTAATGTAAAAATACGACCTTAATTAAAAAAAAATATCTTAAAATTTTCACAACTATGTACTTTCTCAGTAGAATATCTAAAGTAGAAAAAAACTAACAGATTCTTTTTAACTACCATTTTTTTTGATCTACGTATAAACGTTTTTGCAAAACATTGAGCAAATTGAGCAACAATAAACGACTATTTAACTATCAAGCAATTTTAGGAAGCTATTATTCACTTTTTTCTTCATGTAAATTATTTTTTCTACTATTTTTTTTAATTTGTCCTCATAGTCATAAAACTCTTAACAAAACAACACTTTGTACACATCTCGACAAAAATAGGTATCATATTAAATTTCAAAATAAACTTCCCATTTTTGTTTCATGTATTTATTCATATCAAAGTCCGCACGTAAAGTGACTATAATGCTTAATTTGTAAAAGTGTCTAGTATTAAAACTTAGTAGTATTTACACTTATTAATAGGTAACATTATTTTTCTAGTTTTTTTTTTTTAATAAATAGATTATATTGTTCCATTTTCAAACGACGGCACTGACGCACAATAAAAAATGTTCTGCACCACAACCTTTTTCGTCTAACTGACATTTAAAAGAGCGTATTTTTAATAGACGGTTTTAACAGCTAATCTCGGAGTCTCCGACAAACTCGACACCGTTGCTACCCTGTTTTATCACTTTATTCCTAGTGTCGTTGCCGACTACCACCTCCGTGTAGTTCTTTTTGTTTTTCTGATTGTTTTTTTGGCCGTTGCTACCCGAACTTGAAGATGCGTTATCGCTATCAGCGTAAGGGACATCAGTCATTGGCCCATTTAGTAAACTCACTGCTGAATTCGATTGTTTAAGTTTATTTTTAGTTTCTTCTTTGACTTCCTCTTTGGGGGTCTGTAAATCATCTATGACCGCTTTTTTGGGGTCTATTTGAATTGTTTTTGCTTCGGATAGCTTCTTTGGAGTAACTACGTTAATATAAGGTGGGATTATGTTCATCGTATTTAAATTAACGGAGCCGCTGTTCTTTTTGAGGGCGTTGAGGTTCTGTTCTAATTGGGCTGCATCTAGACATAACGGCTTCAGTTTAGGGGCTAGTTTGGGCGGTTCTTTATTTGCCCACGCGTTGATTCTAGGCGGGTCTGGCGATGCGATGGGAGCGGTTTTCCTTTCCGGCACGAGAGAGTTTTTATGGTTGGTTTTATCTATGACATTGGTCTCTATGGCTTTCGATAGAACGTTTTCTGGTGGTTTCGGAGAAGTTGGCGTTATACTTATTAGTTTGTCAACCTGAGAAGAGAAAAATGTTTAAAATTGTATCCAGATATAATTTCATGATATTGCTATAATTAAAAAATATATATAACTGATAGAGAATGCCTTAGACATTGTGTCCGACTATTGTGTTTTTGTGCAATAAAGAATAAATTAATAAATAAATGGATATTATCAAATTAACTTTTGTTAGTAAAAGTGACTTACGGCTGGTCCATTTTCTGTGGTCGGTTTGGGGTCGGGTTTCTCGGTGAAGGAAGTCTCCCAGATGACTGGCTTGTCCTCGCTCTCTGATCCTGTATCTTCGTCCATTGACGCACCTTCCACGGAGCTCAATAACCTATGAATTTTAATCATTCGTTAAGCAATAAAATATTTTTTTCTAGTCCACTGATTATGACTAGCTTCAGGTACTACTTAATAAAATTTCTAGTGCAATTTATAAAGGGTACTAGAAAACTAGTAAATTACGGTTTTTCCTTTTAAATGTTCATGGATTTTTATCCGTGATGAAAAATTAAAATAGATGAAATATATTCATAAGGAAAAAATAACACGTTTTATACTCATCTCTTTTCCCATGACTTGACTCGCGTATGATGTAACTTCCCGTAGGAGAAAGATTTTTTAAAATCGGTTCAATAGTTTTGGAACCTATTCACAAGCAAACAAAAAAATTAACCTTTCCTCTTTATGATATTAGTGTAGATAAAATAGCTTACCTGTCAGTAGAATTAGACGGCAGAAACTTTGTGGTGTTCCGACTCTCGACGACGGAAACTGAAGCATCTTGGCGCCTTCCGTTCGCGCCGCTCCGGCACACCATTGGAATGTTGCCATATTCTTGTGATGCTACCAAATTAGTAAGAACCATATTAAATAAATAGTTGTAATTTTTCAATAACTTTTAAGCTTAATCTTTGCACTGCGGTCTGCTGATAAAAGCTGATAAAAACATCTGAAATGCACAGATAGGTACCGTTTTAAAAAGGTAATTGAACAAAATATATAGATATATACATACTATCACTTAGGATTATCATAAACATTCGTATTATTTATTATATGTATCTTATAACGACTGATGTATCATGTTATGTTTTCTCACCACTTCCAATGTAGCATTAACATTAAATGGCGATTGTTGGTTCTAACAAAGACACTTAAACTAAGTTACAAACCTTTCAGAAGAGGTGGATATGGTAAATCCTCCGTTTCTGGTGACTCCTGTGCCGCCGTTGGCGATTTGCTATGAAGAACCAGCTGATCCGTTGAGCTACAAGAAATCCTTACGGTTACTATTTCTAAGTTGTAGTTGGCATGTTCGATGTCAACAGAAAATTGTAAAAACGACGGTGTATAATAAAGTATCGGATCAGCTCAGGGCGAATGTAATGGCAACAGATCAAGGCGATTGTTTGCAGATCCCGATTTGACCATAAAATTGAGGGAAAATTTATAAGACCATTTTTGTATTTATCCTTAAGTATGTATTGAACGGTGAAGTGTTAGATGGTGAAGCGGACGGATGAAAGTAGATTGCTTGTGGCTGAAAGTCGTGTGCCAAGACGGACGTGTGGACTTACAAGAATGGACATGTGTTGAGAAGATATGATTTACATATTACAAGAATTCATGTATGAGCGTGAATGCGGACGGAAATGTAAGAAAAAGAAATTTCGTGTTGACATTTCAAGATGAACAGACAGCGTGATAGATTATTTGGGTAAAACAGGAATAAACATTGAGACTGAGCTAATTGTGAAGTATGAAAGAAGAGCGCTTATTTACGGCTACTCCAAATAAAATAAAAAGATAACCGGACAATTTTTTTTAAAGAATCGTTATAAATATATTTTAGGGAATATATTGAAGTTGTAGAAATTAAATAAAAATATGTTTAGTTCTGTAAACAAATGGGCGAAGGTCGCTCAATATTCGGTTCCTGATCCTGATCCTATAAGAAAGATATACCAGACGAGCTGTTTACACCTAGTTCTTAGGTATTTAGAATGACGGAAGAGAAATTCTAGTATAGTAAGATACAATTAATATGGCTCATTGATACTGCGCAGAAGGCTAAATTTGAAAACGCGGCAAATCAAAGCCAATCATGATGAGTCGATTACCGCGTTTTACAATTAGGCAAACCGCGAAACCGACCCCTGCCGATTGTGAGTGAGACGGATACTTAATGCTTTGCATTTTACACGTTCACGACGTACGACTCATGATAGGCATTATAATCGTACGTTCATTTGGTCTGAGCAAAGCAAACGAATATTAGTCATGTGCCATATTATTTGCCACTTCTGTAAAAAGTTGAACGCGGAAAATTGTGCAGTACTGCACAGCCTGTCTAGCAGTTTACACAGAAGTTGTAGATGTTCTTTATAAATTGTTCGCAATGGTTCGCAAACTCCCAGCTCGCAATATTAAGGCAGCAGGACATGACTGTTACTTGTGCAAACTACGCATTCAAAATCATTCTGTATGCATTTAAAATATTATATTTTACTACCTATTTCATTTTCCTCATAAAGAAAGTCTTTGTTAGGGATTTGGATATGTGCACTCTAGCTAATTATATTTAAACCGTTTGTTATTTATAATTGTCTATGAAAAGATAAGGGTAGTAATAATCAGAAATAAGTAATTAGGTTAGTTTTTTTTTATATTATCAGGCATAAATTATATTATAATTTAAAATATCAATTACTTTTTTATATCTTTATAGCTTTTATTTAAATATTATATCAAATTGGCTTTGGGGATGTGGAAGTTCTCTCTAAAACATGCTACACTGCTCTGTCTTTATAGAGCAGCTTTTGACCATTTATTTATTTCGTTTGGTATATATAAATTCCCAAGCTATTATAAATCAAGCAAGATTAAAAAAAAAACATTGTTAGATATTTTGGCGATATTTCAATTCCTTGACGTGGGAATTTTTATATACAGCGAATGGTTTGAGTTGATACTTGTTACTATGACAACATCGATTCATAAAAGGAGTGCCACTTATTTCAGTGATTAGATGAGGATATTATTTGTTAGAGACTGGCAGCCATTAGAATTAAATAATGCATTTTAAATTGCTTTTAAAGTTCTATAAATTAGTATAAGGCAGTGGTGAACTTGTTAATAACTTAATCGTCTTCACACGTATGAAAAAGATGCGTCATATTGATGTGAAGTAAGAAAATTACGACGGTTTTCTATTATTTGGTAAATGGTGATTATGATTGACAACCTCCATAACAGAATGGCTCATTCAATTTATGTTGTAACGATTAACGTTATTTGCTGTTTTGTCAAACAAGAATCTCTACAGTTTGCTATGTAAGTATTAGCTCAGTTTATATTCGGAAACAGCAACATTTATGTTTGCTTCTGATTGCGGCGAGTAATCATGACTCCTTGCCAGTTTTGGCCATATTTTATGATGATTGTAGTATTTTAAGTTCTTAAAAAAAATAAAACCAAAATCCATTAAAGTCCACTGTTGCCTATGATAGATGGCTGGCAGTCCCGTGCTAGTTACCTATTGGTCGGCGGCGGGTTCTCCTGCGGCGACATCGGCACGAGGTAGTCGCACGCCGGCGCGCGCTGCCAACATGCCACGCTCAGTACACACGCGGACGGAGGGAGATTCGCTCACTCTTTATTTCTCATCATATATTTTACAACTATGTACGTGCCATGGTCTTTTTGTTTGGCACAAAGTGGAGCAGACGTGTCTATAGTTTCATTATTTTCACCATATATAATTCGAAGAAATATATTTTATCTAATTCATTGCTTGAAATATTTTACAGAATATCATATTAGTTAAATAGTGAATTCTGTGTCTATATAAGACGATGTAAATATATTTTTGTCAGATACCAGTGACAATTAATGCGTAAAGAAGATTGTGATTGTTAAAAATATAGGTGTTATTACACATAAGACCATGGACCCGTAATTATTAGTAAACGATCTTAAGAAATGGACAAAAGGAATGATTCATTAAATCTCCCTGAGTCTTTCACTGTAAATCTACGCGTGCATATAAAGCTAGGTTTTATAAAAAAACTATCAATCTCTGAGATCATATTCATATTATGTTTTTAATTTATTTTTTATAAAACCCAGCGGCAAGGGGCAGAGGTAAAATAAAGAATAGATATAGGTACAGATTGTCGCTATAGCTACTAGGCAAGTAAACACTCAATCCTGAAGATATTTCAAGTGACAAAGAGATTCTTTGAAATGTTTTTAATGATGATAAGCTATGGTATGATGACAACAAAATAATGAATGTCAAAACTTGTTAACGATATGTTAGTTTTTTCTTTAATGACACATATCATGCGATGAAATAACACTTTAAAGAAAAATAATATTTTGAAAATGTTTGTAATTTCGTCATTCCAATGAATCTCTGTCTAACTACGGGGGATCTAGATTACTACTTTTTCATTCAAGGGCGGGGGAAAGGACAGAATAAAAATTATGAAAAAAAAGGTAATGAACATGCGCCACTCGCAAGCACGGCTTTTTATACCACGGATTTCTAACACCGATTAAAAAGTAATTCATAAAAAAGGATCAGTTACTTGCTTCTAGTAGCCAGAGCGATAACATTTGGAAAAGAGAAAAAGTTACAAATTAGTTTTGATTTTAAGTTTCTTTTTAACTGTGAGGGGGAACTAAACACTCAAAATCATTTTTACAAAAAATATGTCGTAGGATTTAAAAATAACAAATTTTATCAAGAAAGAGGCATTACTTTTTAATTATTTATAATTTGAATTAAAGTATCAAGGATAATCGGTCCTAATGGTGCGAAATTTATCTTTAAAAATAACCAAAAAGCTTAAAATACATAAATCTAATATCATTTTCAAATGTAACATTTTGTACAGTTTTCATAATATCTGTTATATATTTTAGTCTTTATTTTTACTTTAATAAAGTAAGACCTCTCTCCTGAGTAGGGAATATAACTACAGAGAAGTAAGTACATACCTGTGGTCCGTTTGCATTCATTTGTACTTCCATGGGGGGAGGCAATAACGATCTCACTACAGGAAGGGGAGCGCTTACGATTTCTGGATCCTGTGTTGATACAGACGATGAATAACAATGAGCGATTCATTCGAGTCCAATTATAATATCGCTTAATTTTTATTTATGTATTTATTTCTCAAATCAGAAATTGTACTTGTTTTTTAAATTATAATAACGTTAAAAATGCTTTAGTACGCAGTATTAGTATGTCAGATCATAGGGAAAAATACATCGCAGTCTCGGTGCGACACTCAGCGGAGCCCCGTATAAAATTTTGTTGGGGGCCCTTATGAAGGGTAAAGATTTATAACAAAAAAAAAATGTTTGTATAATACTATGTACGAATTTAAATAGCATGTACATCGATTATTACGTTGAAGTAAATGACTTAAACAGAAAAAAATCAGTAGCCCGCGAAAGCCGACGTAGGGTGTTGCAACTTTGAAACGCACGTTTTACGTGGGGAAAAGAAATTACTTTTTTGACTTTTGTAATTTCTGAAATAAAACGAAATTTGGGAAGGTTTTATTTATATTTGCTTACGTATATTTAATACGGCGGTAGCTATGCCCCTGTTTTAAACATGTATTTCATTGTGAGTTTTACGTTTTTATCGAACTACCCTCTACACCTCCCCATTTTATTTTATGTATCAAAATATCAACAGTCAGTCAGTCAGTCAAATATGCTTTCTGACTTTTGCTTAAGTTATGTCACGCAAATCATAATAAGTTCTGAAATTGAAGCTCTCATCTGTCGCCTCACCTGCAAGAACCGCTGGAGTCTGTCAAACATGGCTGCAAAGGCAGGCCTATCTGAAGGCGTGGGATTCCAACATTCGCACATCAGTCTGTAGATATCTTGAGGACAACCTGGTCAAAAGGAAATTATAATCATTCCTTAGTATTTAAGACTTCACATACAATTCCATTTGCAAGTTATTATTGTTTATTTTGTTTACCCAGCAAAATAAACTTCTGAATTAGATTTAAATACCTATATGCTTTTTATATTGTAATGTAAACTTTATCGTAATCACCATAGGGTTTCTCGAGCCGCCCTCCGCCAGAAACCATTTCCATGACCTCTCTGTTCGCGCATCCTGTATACGGCATCACGCCCAGAGAGAACACTTCCCATAGCAACACGCCGAATGACCTTAACAAACACGAAACAATATTAAAAAGCTCTCCACTTGTTAGGAAATTCTAACCTACAAAATTCGATTTCAGCGATGGATATAGACAAATTCCTGTTTATAAAATGTAGACTTTCAATACTTAACTTTTGAAACATCTTTTTATTGGTGCATATAAAAAGCTGTTGCTGTGACTTGAAATTTATACTGAATTTCAATACAGAGTATTGAACAAATTCCTCAGTAAATTTTTTGACATGAAATAATTGTCTTGACGACATTATAACCACTACTGCAATACATAATTATTACAAATTATGGCTATTAGTAGATTAACAAACTAAAATTTCATTTTGACAAGATACGCAATATGATAGTAAGTAATAAAAAGTATTATATACAATTATATCGAAGGACTCAGATATTTTGTTACATTAATAAATATTGTCTGGCTATGGTGCGAAGAACTTACCAAACATCTGTTTTGATCGTGAATATGCCATCGATGTATGCCTCCGGCGGCATCCACTTGATGGGTAACATGGCCTTGCCACCTTTCTTGTAGTAGTCTGCCCTGTAGATGTCTCGAGCCATTCCGAAATCAGCTATTTTGACGACCCGACCGGGACCGCGAGACGTTAACAGACAATTCCGGGCAGCTATGTCCCTATTGAATTAAAAATTGAATCCATCTTATTAATCTGTAAGAGTGATTACTATCGTATTAAAGCATATAGTAACTTATATATACTAGAAATACGAAAAGTGTGAAATTGAAGATTTTATATATCAAGTGTAATATGTACATTAGGTTTACTCTAGCCAGGCGTGGCGAGGCCTAGGTTATTAGCTAGTTATAATTTCTTCGCTTTACCTGTGTATGAATCTCTTGGCTTCCAAATATCGGCATCCTTTGCAGACGTCGAGCGAGCACAGCAGGAGATCCTTCATGGTGAGGGCGCTGGCTCGCTCGGGCTTCGGTCTACTCTCCCGAAGGAAGTTCTTGAGATCACCGCCTGCTAGCAGCTCTAAAACTATGAACCTATCGACAAACAAGCATAGTTCTAGATGCATCCGATTTATAGATTAATGAAAGCGAAGATTTCTTGAAACAAGTGTAGAGGACTACCTTCATATATACAAAAATATTTCCGTGGGGAATACTTTAAAAATACTACTTAGTATGAAGATTTTCTTTACCTTATCGTTTGGATTTATTTTAATTTAAAAAAGCATCGAGTCGACAGGATATAAGGTGCGTACACTACGAAACTGTATGTTTCTCACTTAGCAGAATAGTTATTTTTGCTTTTTAACACGCAATGTTGACTCTCGAGCGACACGCCTCAGTGGGCAATATGACTCGGATCACCCGAAGAACTTTTCAGCTTCAGGCCCAAAGATGGTCCAATCTAAATTTCAACTCGGATTATTTGCGGAAAGATTCCATCATACCTTTTCGCCGCTCCCCGCTTCTCGTACCTCATGTTCTTTCATGCGACACTGTCGTTATTTCTTTCGTTTATAAAGTGTCTAAACAAAATATACCTGGGATGGCGGTCGAAGCAGACGCCGATGAGATGGACGATGTTGGGATGGTTGAACTTGGCCATGATGGCGGCCTCCATGAGGAAGTCCGCCTCGGCCTGGCCGGTGGAGAGCTCGGGCAGCGTCTTGACGGCGACGGGCATCTCCGCCGTGTCGCCGCTGCGGTGCCGGTACAGCCCCTGGTACACCTCCCCGAACGCGCCCTGCCCCAGCGCCCTGTGGGCCAGTACCAGACCGTACCAGTCAGTGATCTGCACACACAGTGCGTAGACTGTGTGCACACGTGGACAACGCACAGACATGATCTCTCGGACCAGTGCGAGGGCGGGTGCTGTCAGCTTTCGGCTCGCGTCTATGGTCTTTTTGTAGCAAAATTGGCCAACGATTCTTCAAATTTAACATTATTATGATGATGATAATACATTATTATGAAATGTTAAATATGTATTGTCGAAATTGCATCATATTCACCGTACTCTTTTCCTGGGACTTCTGAAGAGGTTTATCAAAGTGACTTTTTTAAAGAAAGAACTTCATAATTATAATATGTATCATAGAATGAATATATTTCAAAATACAAGCAACAAAACTGGTAATTCGTCTAAGACAGCATTCTCTTAACTCACTTGACTAATTTCAGACTTTCTCGCGACACTTGAGGGAGACCCCTGACGTCGATTCCTTGGGGCAGAATACTCTCGCTGCCGTAGTGAGGATTGAACGCCATACTTAGGGGATTCTCGTTGCCCCCCGGAGCGTTCCGCAGACGATGTAGTTGAACCTCCTGCTCCAGCATACGTTTTTGTCGTAGTTCTGTCTCTTTCTTGCGTTGATAGGAGTTGTCTGGAAGAGCACGTGAACATAAAACAGCAGCTTTAGATGTAACACAAGCTAAAACGCCATATCACGTTTGGCAACTATGTGATTTAGGCTTTATTGAAACTGAGAATGCTATTAAATATCCTAGCAATCAAAGAGACAAATTAAGTCACCAATTATTGTATTGCTTAATGCCTACCCACAGGGGAATATAAAATATATTTCGGAGACTTTTATAATATGCGCAGCAGTTTGGAAGACATACATTTTACAGATATATTTGTACATATTTATAACTTACATAGATAGAGGCACACGCAGACGACCGCGAGTGCACACACGAACACTGCTATAGTCAACACAATGACTAGCACCCAGGATATCCGCTCCCACGAATCTTCCACTGCATTTGACGATAGAAGAGAGATATATTTTTAGTATATATATCGAATAAGTAAAAGAAAATTTTAATACTGTCATCGTTATACCAATGTTATTACAGTTATCATTTGCTTAAATTTTCACTGTGGCTATGACTCCGACTTTGTTTGTGGATGAAACATATAAACAACTTATTCCACCACGTAAACTTGGTATCAGCGAAATGGTGAGCGAAATAATGGATTTTTTATAGCCTTTGCTGTTATTAAACCTCTTCAATCACATACCCAATGCACTTATTATTACGCCATCGAGATTTACAATGTTCCTTTTAATACTTTAAGTGAAATGCCCTGATTTTCAAGTAATTAGCTTCATAACGGCCAGACATTTTGAGCTCTTCAAACATGTCTGCCTTGACTATTAAATTCTTCGTTAGGATAGAAAGCCACGCCGTTTATTTTATGCCTTAACACAAAGTAACATGTTTAAATGTTGGATTGCTGCCAAAGAAACAGAGCGTGGCATGTTTCTATTTAAGAAAATAGAAGACTACACTCTAATGTGCGGCTGGATGAATGAATTTTATTTTTAGTGCCAACAGAGTTTAAATTAATCCCTGTGGTTATAGTAAAATCATAGGTAAGGCGCTGTCACGTTGCATAGAGCGACTTGTTTTAGATCTGGCTTTATACGAAAAGTTACACTTTTTTTATAAATGAAAAAATTGTCTATCCTCCTGAGTCCTCGCATTCTTTTTATAGAACAAATGGCATTCATAGTTAAGTCCTAACTACAGTTAAACAAAACATGTGACATTGTCTGGTTATCCATATAAAGATCAAAGTCGTTTTTTGGTATTAAGTTTTTTGGTTGATTTATCAGAAAAGAGAGATTTTATTAATGTTTCGTATATATCTGTCTTTATCATCAAACTTTGCAATTGGCAACCATATTTTTATTACTCGACCACATGTAACTAACAATGGTGATTCGTCGGAGAGTTCGTTTACTAACCAAATAAATATCTTGTGATATTTTCAATAGGATATTGAATTGTTATTGATTTAATTAAGAAATGTGTAAATATAAACCATGTTTACTTATTTATTTTTTTCGTAAAAATTTGCCAAAAATTCAATTTTTACAAAATACTCGTACTTTACTATAATACTGGTTATTAATACTAAATAAGAATACAAATAATTGCCTAATAAATACATTGAAATACATGTTAATTTTTTAATTTGTATCGTCCAAACTTACACCCATGCCGAAAGTAGAGTATTGCTATTGAGACCGAACGTTCTACAGAAAGAACAAAAAAACTACAATTATATCTACTACATAAGCAAGATCTCATCATATTAAAGAACTTTTGCTCGAGCAACAAACTAATAAACGAAAACGAAAATAAAGGAAATAGTTTAAAACACCTATCAGACTTCAGGACTCAGTAATAATAAAAGATTTGTTCTTTTTATAAAACATCCGGTTGTGCTTTTTTCTGATATTGGGACTCAGGAGGCTATTTAAAACAGTGAGAAAAATGGATTATTAAAAAGAGTTGTGTTAAACTACCAATTTGACTATCATCGTCATCAGCCTTAACATGCACACTGCTGAGCATAGGCCTCCCCATATATCGCCACGACCATCAGTCCTGCACTGCCCGCATTATAAGATCGCCGGTCCACCTGGTGGGAGACCTACCCTCTGAGACTCTTACATTTCCGCCCCAACGGCCATCAGTTCTTCTCGTTATATGTTCCGTCCACTACCACTTGAACTGAGCAATTCTTTGAGCAATACAGTAAAGTTAGTTTTCCTACGGATCTCCTCAGTCTCTAATTCGATCACGTAGAAATATACTAAATATTGCTGTCTCCATTGCCCGTTGGGTGACTTTGAGCCTTCTTATGAGACCAATTTAACTAGTATACTCACATATGCATTTAGTTTCGTCGTGCATGTCAGTGCTCCACGACGCAGGGCAATAACATTTTACCTCGCTGCGGTATTCGTTCATCGCGACGCACCGATAGTCACAGCCGCAAGCCTGCCGGAATAGTGATAAATGAATTGTCTTCATTGCAACATCACAGCCTCAAATCCTCAAACGAATGAGAGGGAATAAAACGAATGTTGCTAGGTAGATAATGGAGAACAAGAGGAAGATATTAATGTAAAGGAAATGAATGATTATATAAGAATAAGAGATCAATTGTTGGCAGCACAAAAATATGATGACTGGAGTTGCTAGTAGATCCTTGAATAATTGTTACAAACATTGAGGCTCTTACTCCTCTGTGTCAGATCAGAATAGCAACGCGTCAGTTAGCATCACTATTTATTTCTGGATCGATTGCAGTATCACTGTTTTTGTTTCTGATTTCCGCAAACGCATCACGGCAAATTGATGAGGTTAAATTAAATTATTAGAAAAAATCTACGAACTAACTATGAAAAAATATCAACTCACGTGTATAGCTGGTATAATGAGGACTTCTCCTGGTCCAGTTCGTTGTGCGATAGTGACTTCACTGTATTCTCTGACAGCGCGCGCGTTGTCCACATGTGACCATCCCCCGCCGCCGTGTTGACCTTCCCCTTCATTCGTGTTACCACCTACGGGAAAGTGAAAAATAAAAAATTATTTCACTAATCATCAGAAGACTGCTCACTGAACATGTACTCCCTTCCTATAATAATGTATTTGAAATGGGACACAAAATTCAGGATGAATCCTGAAGAAGACACAAAAAGATTAAAATTGCCGGAATATTATTTGATACATTTTTTACAACATCTTCAACAACATCAGATTTCAGGAAGGCTTTCAATGGAGTAACTTACGTAATTTTGTCGTACAAATTATTCGCCTATGGAAAGACTAGCAGTTCGAAAACTCAGTCGGACGTCTCACCGAAGACATTCTTTGTGATGGTGAATGTGTTCACCGGGATGTCTTTCGGGTATGAGTAGCTAAAAATTTGAGGGGACCACAGGGCTCGCAGCTGAGACCTGTTGAATGCCTAATATACTTTGTTTTGTATATAAGGCATCATTCAAATATTCAAAGGATGAATGAAAAAGTTAAAGGAGTGTATAGTTCACCGAGCCACCCGCCGCCGCCGCCGCCGCGCAGGCAGCCGCCGCCGCCGCCGCCGAAGCCGCCGTGCGCCGCGCTGGCGCAGGCCGCGCCGCCCGCGCCCCCGTCCCGCACGGCCGCGCCCCGCACCGCCTCGTGCCCCGGCGTCACGGGGCCCGCGCGCCCCACCCAGCCCCCGCCCGCGCCTGCGCACACACTCCCGCCCCGTTACAAACTCGACTTTGCTGACATTCTGGACTTCTGTAACTTTACAACTTGAGTAACGTCATTGGTGATGATAAGTATCGGTTAGAATCGTCGATTTGAAGTGACTCCGGGTGTGAAAGATCGCAGTCGGTCACTCGGTCTCTGGGACTCGAACGGTCCTCCGTTTTTTTAAATAGCATCGACAAAATTCCATATATAAATGTAATGCAGACATGCTTAGATAAATAATTAGGATAATTTACTTTTTAAATATATGGTTTGCTATTAACTTTTTTGAAGAGAAAAGAGGTAGATAGTCAGAAACGATAAGTCACTACGACCATCAAAAACAAATATGGAACATCGACCCCGAAATATTTAACTTTATGATACCGCAAATTTATGCTTAACAATCGTCCGATGATATTGATGCTTTGAAAAATTATCAATTAGTATAGTTCACACAAAAAGATAAATTTATGACGATTCTACAATAAACTGACCAGATGTTTTCCCGGGCTGTCCGTACATATATCCGGACTCTGGCGTGGCGTTAGTGTGTGGTTTCGCGTGCTGGGAGCCATCATCTCTGAACACTCCCACTGAAATACCGCCACCACCTCCGCCCACTAGTAGAGGTACCGCTTGACCTTCCTTGTCCAACTGTTGAAAGTACATAACATATTCATATAATAATATTACATCCGGATCTTATAAGAGTTGAGTTGATCTAGACAATAAAAAAATCACAGCTCATATTGTTTGCCAAACTTTAGATTACAATTCAATTACATCAGACACAAAACACGAAGGTCTACCTATAGATTTTTGTCAAACTCGGTTTAACTGACTGTTCCAAATCGATAATCAGCTGATGAGTTCTATATTTATCGCTTCCAGGTCCTCAGGCGAATTGTTAAATGCATGCAATTAAATGCAATCTTATTTTGGTACAGAACGTTAACTAACGGAGTTCAATATCAGTTCAATTTTATTAATACTTTTTTGGGATTCTAATAGTGCAAATGTCTTTACCAGGAACACATAGGTGCCTCCACCTCCGCCACCGCCACCATCAGTGACGTGTGTATTGCGGACCTCGTGGGTTTTACTCGTAAATACTTGTAACGAGTCGTTTTGCTTTCTTGAACAGTCTTGACTCTCCTGGGCCGACAATGTCTGGAAATATTGACATTTTAGATAACTTAGCAGTTATCGGTAAATAGGAT